TCTTTTTTTGACTTCAAAATTACCAAATGTGTCTCTGGTCAGTAATAAAAAAAAAAGATTACAGATCAGATTAAACTTAGAGATTTGTCTATAATTTTTGAACAGAAAAATGTTTACTTTGAACAAAAATCAAGAAAAATTGGCAAAAACAAAAAAGCCAAAAAAAAAAGTGTTAAAGCCGAAAGTAAGTGATATGCCGGCAGAATTTAAAAACTCTTTAGTTTGACCTTTTGAATTTTGAGCAAAAAATTCTCTCTTTTTTTAACATTATTCAGTTAGTTAAACTTTATTTTGACAGCAATAAGATTTTCAGTTGTTCCTATAATGATGAGGATGATCAGCAGAAACAAAATATGTGTAAATAAATAAAAAAAGTGTTGAGAAAAAAGAGAAATGGTGAACATATTGTTGGAATAATCAGTTTACAAAGTTTTTTCAACAACACTTTCTTCAAAAGAAACTTTTCATTTTTGATTTATCCTTTTTTTGTTTCTTTTTTCAAAATAAACAGTGCATTCAATTATTCTGGAAAGAATGTTTTATATTTATACAGTCTTTTTTTTTTCTGTTGACCAATAGTTTTGTAATCTGTTAACAATTGACAATACTTTGATATTAAAAATTCTTTTGTTTCTTTTTTTTTTTGCTGTTGTTTCAGCCAAAAAAAACTGCATTTATCGCTGATTACTTTTAGCATCAGTTGTTTGCTGCCTTTTGCTGCTACTCCTTTTTGCTATATTAACTTTAGTTTTTATAGTGCTAAGTAAAATAGTTTTTTTAGCTCACTAATGTGCCATAACTAATAGGTAGTTACTTGGTAAAAAAACAAGTTTTTCATCTTTTTGCTCTTTTGCTTTTCCAATAACTTTTTGCTAATGTCATAACTTTTCAACAATGAAATATACATACATCTTTTTTATCCAATAAATTAATATTACAAACTTTTTCTGCTTTTTCTTCCCATACATTTACTAATCATTCTTTTAGGCGTAGGAAATTAATGAATGATTTACTAAAATGGTCTATTCAACAACTAAAGTTCCTGGTTTTGGGTCTAAAATCACTAAAAGACTAATGGAGCAATAGAAAAGCAGATATTGAATGGCAGCAGAGCAGATGGCAACAAAACAGCTTTTTGACTGCCAAAACATCTTAGAACTCCGTAAAGCTGCAGAAGCAGCACATGCATAAAATCTGCATGCACTCGCCGTTCCGATTACAGATTTACTGCTACTCCTATCGCTGCTCAATCTCATATCAATGCCGGTCAACTACACCACTGAGTGTAAATTTTTTTAAAACTTTCAAAAATTACACATATTAACTGCTCTTTTACAGTGTTCAAGTAATCCTTAATTCAACAGTTTAGTAACTGATTGATCAACAGATACTGTATTAAAAAATTTTACTTGAAACTGTGCTAAGTATTTTTTGAACTTTTGTTCAAAATTTTTTCACCTTACTTTTACAGCAACTATCGAATTGTATGTGAAAATCTTTTTTTTTCTTTTTATAAACTGAAACTAAAATTTTTGGAAAACTTTAATTCTGTTCCAATTATTATGGAACAAAAACAGAGGCTTTCACAACTCACCCAATTATTCTTTAGCGTTCCTTAACCAATTAATTAGCATCATTATTTTTTGAGTGTAAAGAAGAAATAAACAACTTATAAGGCAAAAATTTTTACAAATGCTATTTTCATTTATAACTGAACCTAAACATTCAATTTAGTGATCTAAACGTCAGTAATTTTGTTTCAAGCTTTCTTTTTTTACTAACCCAAAGCTAATTTTTAACTGCTCATCAAAAACTGCTTGTTGATAATACCGTCAGAATTTTCGAGAAAAAAAAATCCGTAAAAGTAGGAAACGTTCACTATTTATTAAATACTTTTACTGCTTTCTCTTTTTTGTTATTGATCTCTTGAATAAAATAATTTTACTTTTGATATAATGAAGTATTTTTTCAATATTTGAATTTGAATACAGCTATTGAAATCACTGCTTTAGTTGACCAAATTTTATAAATTTTTACTGCAGAAATATACCGTATTCTGTTAATATTTGCTTACAGTCTTCTACAGCTATTTTCAATAGCGTTTAATTGGTACTCAATGACTTCACTAAATCAAATTAATCCCTAAATATTAAATAATGTTGCTTATAGGCTGAAAATAGTTGTTCCAATTCCATATCTCTTCTTCCTTCTTTTAAAAAAATTAAAGAAGGTGCTAACAAATTGTTGGCGTTAGTTTAATGTTAATACAACAAAAACTAACACATCTATAATTTTTAGAAATTTTAAAAGCTTTCAAGTTATTTTGTGCAAAAAAAAAACAGCAATATTTTTTGCAGTTTTTTTCTCTTCATTGCGCTTTGCTCATTTCAGAAATTATCTTTCTTCTTCCACATGAAACAACAAAAATCTTAGGTATTATGTATCGTTAATTTTTCAACAAATTTCTTTCCAAATTTTTCGCACTGTTGCAAATTGATCTGTACTTTCTTAAAATGTAATTAATTATAGTTTAAAAAAAGCAAAAAGCAGAAGCTTAAACTATGTTTTGCTGTTTCTGTTTTTGCTTTTTTCTTAAGTGTAAAATTTTAAGATGTCAATTGAAAACCTTATGAGTATTTTTAACAGATTTATAAGAACGGTTAAACATCTACAATGATTTTTCTTCTTTTGTAACTGCTATAGTACAAAACTGCCACTGACGACAGCCAAATAATAACATTGATAATAAATAAAATTTTTATGACAACTAATAAATTATCAGACAGTGATTACTGATAATAACAGTTTTGTTAATAGTATATCAATAATTATGTAATAATTACCAAAATTAAAAATATCGACAAAAAAAAAAGGGGAAAAATCATAAGCAGTAAGCGGATGTAAAGGTGTTACCAAATTATAATTGAGGTATTGAAAAATAGAAAACGAAAAACTGGTAAGCAAAAAGAAGAAAGAAAAAGAGTGGAAATGAAGCAGAAGGAAAACGGCGAATGCACAATAAATGACCTGACTTTGTTTTGAGAAACAAAAGAAAAAAAAAGAACGTTCAATAAATTTGTTCAAAGATTAAAGCTGAATTTCATCTTCAGAAAGGCCAACAATTTTTAGTGCATTTTTTTTCCTGACAACGTAGGAGAAGCGAATTTTGACTGATAGATAGACTTCAAATAAATCTTAGCTTTCTTCCATGTACTCTTTATAACACTTATAACAATTACCTTTCGCTTCTTCAATTTATTTATTAATTTTATTCCTCTTTTAATTATTAATGCTATTATTACTATTATTATTGTTCTTATTCTTACTGTTCCACAAATCTTTTTTTCCTTTCTTTTACAGCGGTTTTATTTTTTGATTGCAGAAGTATTAAATCAGTTGAGAACTATGACAAACTTACTGTTATTTTTTTGTCAACAGTACCAGCTACACTATTCTATTCTGCATGTCTGATGTAAGCGTCTACTGTACGATGTTCATACGAGAATACTTTTGGTAATTTATGACGATTTTTCAGGAAGTTTTTGGTTGAAGGAACAAGGCAGTAGAATCAAGAGTGAGCAAAGGAATCGTCATTGGTGAATTGACGACCTGTGTTAGTTTACAAGACCACTACCTCTACGTAGTTTTCCCGGCATTCTCAGTAACGAGGTGCTTCTGGGTTTCCGTGTGCTGTGTGCGTGTGTGTGTGGGTGTAGATTAGATTTGCAGTCGACGGTGATGCAGTTATTGTTGTGGATATCCGAGAATTCCTAACGAGGTTTCTGTGGTCTTCAGTCAGGAGCAGTGAACAGATTTGCTGCTGAGACGTTAGCTGCATAACTACCAATAATAAAGCTGTCAGTGGTGTTTTTCGTTCAGCACTTTATTTTTCACACTTTTTTCACACATTGTTTTATTCTCCTAATTGAACATTTACAATTGAAAAAAGAAGAAAACTTATCTTTATGTACAAATAAACTCAAAAATTTTTACATCTTTTAGCTTTTTTTTTGCTTGTTTTTTTTTTCAAATCTTTACATACACGTTATTTTTTGTTATTAGCGTTTTTTAATTGACTTAATTTATTGTTAAATTAGCTTAACAAGTCTTTCAAATAGCACTTGAAACTTATGCTAACTTTTGGTCAAGAAGCAAAGTGAAAAAGAAGCACATTTTTCTACTTCTGCAAAAATGAGACCATTTTTATACTTAATAAACGTTCCTTAAGAATTCAGCACTTAACATTTCAACATAGCAACTGTAACACGAATAATATTTTATTGAGCAAAAAGAAGTTTTGAAAAATTAACATATTTCTGACAGCAGCAGTAATTATTAATAAATCAGTAAAAACATTTACACTTTTTGCTATTTATGATCTCTTTTTACTTTTTTAAATCAGATACAGCAAAAAATGGGACAAACCACCTTTAAGCAGTATATAGTTTAAAAAGCTTAGAAGAAGTACATTTATGGTTTGTCTGCAATTTTTTGCTCTACTAATTCCAGCTTGTATTTTTCCTAAAGTTTTAACGCAAACTAAACTAAAAAGATTGCGCAAAAATTGATTAATTTTCTTGTTTAGTTACAAAAATTGTTAAGTGAAAAGGAACTATTTAAAAAAGTAGTAAAGAAAATAACAAGCAAAGAAAAACGAAGAAGAAAAGAAGTAGGAAATAAGAAATGATTTGTTGACTCTTAACCAAATATCAAATGTGCACCTTAAGCAATGGAAAGATAAGAAAATAACTTCTTTTTTTTTCTTTTTTTACTTTTAAAAACAATAATTTTGTTTTACTTCCTTTTTTTTTCTTATCATGAATTAAACCAATGCTTAAGCCAGCAAATCACATTTTTATCTATACATGTATATATTATATGGTAATCTAAAATATTCAGGTAAACTGAGATAGAAGCCAGGAAAAAGTCGATACCAAAACAATTTATAGAGCGATACATTAGGCGAGAAATCAGTGGGAAAGAGATGCCGCTGAGAAGAGATGAAAATTGATCGTTTTGAGGTTCTGCTCAGTAATGAATCGCAGAAACCATATATCGGCGGTGAAACTTTACAGGTTTGTTGCATCGACTGACATATACTTTCATTTCTATACCTTCTGAAATTAAAGATTATTATAGAAAAAAAAAAAGAAAACCGAAGAAACAGAAAACAATAATTTATGCATTACCGTAAGAGAAATGTTGATTTAAACAGTAAAAATTGAAAAAACTAAAAAAAAAATATTGAGAGAGATAAATTTTTTTTCAAAATTTTTCTTTAAAGTCTTGTTTGCAAACCGACAAATCGGTTATTTCTGACATTTTAAATTTCGTTTTTTCTCTTTTTGTCTTCAGTTATTCACCCTACGATTACTTCTTCATAGCATCTACATTTAGGGTCAGATAGAAATTAATGTCAGAGAGAAGATTAAAATTGCCAGATTGACGGTTAAACTTGTTGGCCAAGCTCAAACCAGTTGGCGTAACAAGGACAGCGATTTAACTTATGAAAGTAATGAACAAGTGCTCAATGAATATATTGATTTAACCAGGTAGCCATCTGTTTTTCTTAAAATTTACTTTTGCATATTTGTATTACCATTATAATCTTCTTACAACTAACAACAGAAAAAAACTTTTTTTCTGATGTTATGCATTAAATTATAAAATGGAGAAGAAAAATGACAGCACTTACACAAAGTTTATCTTTATGTCATATCAGTATAATAGTTTTGCTTTTATATTTTACTATTTTGTAAATTGTTATAGAATTATTTTATATGATTTGCATTATTAATTGAGTTGAAAAATTGTAGTTTTTTTTCTTAATAAATTTTAGGTCTTTGATTAGTCACTGCGACGATAACCTTTGCTTAACCGAAGGCCGTCATAATATATGCTTTCAAGTCCCGGTAAAGTTCACTTGCCTTAACTACAAATGCGTTTCAATAAATCTATCAGCTTTTTCTTCTATATTTCTTTACTTGCCAGTAATCAATCTTTTCGTTTCTGATGAGACAGCGTGTACCAACCATAAAAATTTATAAATATGTATTTTTTTTTAGCTACCCCTTGATGTAATCTCATCAATTGAAAAGGAAGGTTACGGGTGGGTACGATACACATGTATTGCAACTTTAGACCTTCCCGAAGATGAAACTCGAGAAATGATCGCAGGTAAATTGAACAACAAGTTGCTTAATCTATTTT